GGGAAATACTGGGAGATGGGTGATTTTGGCTGATTCCTCTGTGCTTAGCCCTCAGGTGATAGTTAAATACTGTTTCTTTGTTTACTACAGTCCTCTTGGTTTCAGGATTGGAAGCCCCTTTGGCTATCAGAGCCAGGGGATCCTGTGACCCATTCCTTAGGTGGCATCCATAAAGTCTTGGGCACAGACGTACATAAGCTCCTTTCAGGGATATGCTTGGAGTGGGCTGGAAGTAGAAGGCAGGAGAGGTATCCTCCAGCTCCCCTTGTCTCTGGGGAGTATTGCAGCCCACCCCTAGTGCCTTCTGGAATTACAAGCCTGGCTCTCAGGCAGCAGCAGTTTTTGAAGTATGCTGATAAATCTCTTTCAGGGAAAGACTGGGAGATGGGCATTTTGCCTGCTTACTCCATGTTGAACCCTCGGGGGATAGCTGTGGTTAGTGCTGCATACCTCTTAAGAATTGCTTATTTGTTTTCTATAGTCTTGTGCTAAGTGTTTTAGGGTCCTTACCTTACCACCAACCAATCAGAAGAAAGTCACACATCCTGCTGCCCTCTCCCCAAATTTTGCCTATAGAAACTTTCCCCTGAAAACCATCAGCCCTCTTGGCTGAGATACTGGCTACCCAATTTCCTTCTAATTTGTTTTCAATTAAATTTACCAAAGATGCTTTCAGTTTCTTGTAACTAAGAATCTTGAATAATGCAGTCTTCTTCTTTACTGCAGGTAATTGAAAGTGACAATATTTAGTAAAGCATTTAGACATAGAGAACTGTTTAGTGGCGTTGGTTGCCTTAATAATAGTTAAAAATGTTCTGTTTGAGAAATTACCCTTGACTTATTCATCAGGATCCTTTTTCACTTTCACTTTGGTTTAGTGATTAGTAGGCTGATCTATCAATTGGTCTTGAATTCCTGATTAATTTTTTCTTAAGCATGTAGGAATGGGGATTGTGTAGTACATAGAATTTGGTGAAAGCCAAATGATAATGTCTTAGATAATGGAAAATCAGCCTGGAATAAGTTCATTTGGTTTATACATACATGAAGACTGTGTTTAGACTTTGACTTGTCCCTAATTCTGTTGATCTTTATAATGTGAGAACTGCATATTGAATTGATACTTCTTTCTGTTTTCTCTTTATAATCTGAATTGTTTAATATTACTGTAGACTCTATCATACTTCTTATATTTCTGAACTTTGGAAAGTCACTTTGTTTTCTGTGCCTAACTTTTTAAAGTTTTAAAATGATAGAGAATAAACTAATCTCTACAGTCCTCTCTAGTCTTAGCATTTGATGAGTTAATGAAAGTTACTTTATTCTTTTTCTTTTTAAAGTTTGAATGCCCCCAGTACACTTATGATGCTGCATGGAGCAGAATAGATTGAATTTGTTGTTCAATGATTTCAAAATGGTCAGTTAAGAAATAGGTATTGGGAAGTATGTTAAAGAACAAGATCAGTAAGTGGCAAAGTCTGGGACTATTCGGTAACTGTCATTCATGTAGTTTATGAAAATCACTTGGGAAAATGAACAGCTTTGTATATTCACAGTTGGCATTCTTGGAAGTCAATAAAAAGCACTGGTTAAAAACTTGAAAACTAGAATTCTTGGATTAGAATCCTGGCTCTAGCTCTTATTAGCAGTGTTCCCTTCAGCAAGTTACTTAACCTCTCTGTGTCTTGGTTTCTTATCAGTAAAAGGGGAATAAAAATAGAACTTTCCTTAAATAGAGTTGCTGTGAAGATTAAATGAGTTTATACATGTAAAGTGTCTGAAGTATGTAGATGGTGCAAGATATATCATACTCATTATTAACAATTTTTTTTCATGTTATTACATAATCTCATATAGCCAAGATACATTTTGTTATTTGGATTGTAATTCTTGTATGTATCTTAAATTTGAGATCATAGTTTCATGTATATCCAAAAGATATATTGTATAGATCTATCTGCTTATGTTGTCAATGAATGTTTTATAGCATTCCATTATTATTAATAGATTAAATATATTATAACTGATAAATATTGCATTATCATTGGGATTCAATGCAGTGTTTGGCACCAAGGATCATGTGGTTTGAAGCCCAAACATGATTAGCTATTTTGAAAGTAGTTTTGAGGTTTCAGGCAAACATAGCTTACATATTAATATAACTGTAGTTGCTCTAATAAATTTAACATATCCTTAGATCCTATATAGATTTTAATCTTTCTGTTCCACATTGATTTTAGCAGAATATTGAAATAAAAGGAAAGACAAAGAAAGTAGCACTGTTTACTAAGAATATTGCTATCAGTTGATAATTTTTCATTGCTACATCCTTTTTACTGCATTGATTTCTCTTTGCTTATCTTGATGTTTAGAACAGATTTATTTTATGCTTAATTATTAATGTCTTTCTTATTAGTTCTTGAAAATTCTAAGAAAATTTTGCGAAGCAGGATATACTTTATAAATAATTTATATGTACCTTAAGGACATTTTCATGGTTTCTTTTCAGAAAATAATGTAATTATCACTCCATTTTTAGATTTTAATTCCAAGTCTTCCATTCAACTAAAATGACAGTCATTTTAGAGAACATTTCGTTAATCATTGTATGTTTTATCTTGCCTCCCTTTCAGGACCAGGGTTCTGATCAAGCAGGAAAGGAGAAAGCAAAAGGTAAAGAAAAATATTTTTATTGTGTATCATAGCCTTATGAGAACAGTCATCTTTTGAAGCATTTTTCTAAGGTTAATAAATTGACCAGAGTGAAACTGGAAGACCATCTTTTTTTAGTCTTTGTCATCCTTGTAGATAGCTTAATTAGCCACCCAGTTTGCTCAGGCAGAGAATTAGGATCATTGTTGATCCTTGTCAGTCTAATTCCAGTATATCCCAAGTCTGATAACTTCTCAATAACTATATTATTAGTTGGCCTCCTGATTCAAATTTTTATCATTTATTACCCAGAGTTTACAATGGCCTTATAACCTATCTCCTGCTTTTTTTGGAGTTTTTTAAAAAAAATTATGACATTGATTGTATTACATTGTAAATTTGAGCATGTATATACCTTGCAACTGAGCAGTATATATCCCAGAGGAACTTCCACATGTGCACTTGGAGATATATACAGGCTTGTTTGGATCGCTGTTGTTGTTAAGTAGCAAACACAAAAAAGAGAAGGAGAAAGAAGGGAAGGAAAAGGACAGGGTATGGGGAAGAGAAGGGGACCACCCAAACATCCATGAGCAGTAGAATGCTTAAACAAATTGTGGCATACAAAGTAAGGGTACAGCAATGAAAATATATCAGATACATGTAATTAATGTAGATAAATCCCCAAAACAATGCTGAGCAAATGAAGCAACTCACAGAAGAATACAAGAAGTGAGCTTCTATTTACAAAAAGTTCCAAAACAGTGCAAAACATGTTCAAAGATAGTAAAATTTAAAGAAAAGCAAGGGAATGATTATGATGAAAGCAAGATAGTTTTAACTCAGTGAAATGATAATACCTCATTGTTAATGTAACTTGTATTTTCTTGATTATCTTTTCATTCAGATTCTCTCTTTCGTGAGGTACTTTTCCAAGTATTTTTTTCAGTTTTTATTTGGGTTGTTTGACTTTTTCTTATTGTGTCTTTATATATTTAGAAATTCTTTGTCAGTTATATGTTTACTCTCTGGCTTTTCTTTTTACTTTCTTAGCAATATCTTTGAAGGAAAATTCTTAATTTTAATGTCATTGAATATATTAAAGTTTCTTTGTTTTATTATTTACTCTTTTGTACTAACTCTATTTGGATCATTCTTTTGAATATTTTTAAGAAAGGGAAAGACTCATGGCCCTCTCTCAAAGTGTTGATCTCTTTGGAAGTCATGTCACTTCCCTATTTTGAAAATTGCATACCTTCCTTTTGTTGCCGGTAGATATAATGGTAGATGTAACCGCTGTCCAGGTTCTTGTCCCATCCCAGAAAGAATTCAGAGACAAGACATGGAGGTTAAGAAAGTAAAGTGAGGTTTATTAAGGGATGAATAGTACACTATCTAGGAAAGAGCGGGCAGGCTCAGGTGAGCAGCTGCCCTGAGTTTCTTTGGCAAGTTGGTTACATAGGGTGTAAAAATGAATGGGCAGATTATTCATTAGGGAGGGAAGGGTCTGGGGTCATATTCCCTGATTATCATCCCAACTCCACCTTCCCGAAGGGATGAGGGATTTTGTCTTTATTTAGTCTGTATCATGGCATCCATGCGTGATGGGTACTTCTAATCTGCAAGGATAATCTTATTGAAATGAGGGCATAAGAGCAAAAGGTTACATTTGGACACTGGAGATTCCTGCCTTTTCCCACCTTTATTTCTTGGCCTCCAGGCCACTCATCACCCCAGAATTTGTGACCACTTATTAGCCCAGGGGTTCCTGCTTTTCTTTCTCTGCCCAGGGACCCCTGGTGCTTACATAATGTACGGTTTCCTGCATTTGGCCTGTGCCCCACCTTTCTGCCCAATTCCTGCCATTTGGCCTGTGCCCCCTTGACTGCTTATTTTTAGCTATTTGTCTGCTCTAACTTTTTGCCTCCTCAAACTTCTCTTCCCAACCCTATTTATCTCTTTGTACTCATTAGATGACCTTGGCTCATATTTTGGAGGAATAGAAGCTGTCAGATGAGAATTATCTCAGATTTCTACCACCAGTTCTATAAACTATCTGAATCTTCACCCATCTTCTCTTTCTCTCCTGCAACTAAGGAAGTAGTTTCCCCCTGTCAAAGGAAGATCTGTCTGTCTGTGATCTGGATTCCATTTACTTCTGCAAGTTATAATGATTGATTTTAATTTATATGTAAAAATATAAAGAATGTGTCACAAGAATATAAAAATACCAAGTCAATTATTTGATTGCATTATTGCTTTTTATTATTTATGATTCTGCTTGGAACCACATGGTTGCTGCGTTAACTTTTTATTTGTAATTACTTTAGGAATATTTTGAAAAGAAAAGGTTAAAATCAAAAATGAAATTACTGGGAGTTTTATCCCCTGTCAAAAATTCTGCTGTCAGTTTAGACCTCCTTAACCTATACATGGTAAATCAAATATCCTGCCAGAAGAAAACATCTGGTAAGTTAAGTTTTTCTAATACCATTTTGTTTTGATTCTGGTATGACTGTAAGATTTCATTTCTTAATAAATGTAATTTTAGAACTCAGTGTGAAAAGTGAACTAATTTTAAAACTTGGTTGCCCTCTTAAGTAAGAAACTTTGTTAATTTTTCTTAACATCTTTTGTTGCTTAATACGTTTATTTTTAGGTTGTGTAAGTGTTATATAAAGTTAATTTTACAAGATATGGTTAGACTTATTATAATGCAGCTGTTTCAGTTAATACATTATTCTGTCTTGGCAGAAAGTTACCAAAGTTTAGCTAAAGAGCTGGAAATAAATACCTTTACTCTCTTAGACTATTTAGAGACTTTGTTTGAAAGGAAGAGCTGAAAAGATTTTTGCCTCAGTAATTAGTCTGTGTTACACCTTGAATTATTTCTTAGGCACTCCTGAGTTGTTAACTATGGTAGTCTACTGCTTCAAAATAAAGTTCATTTTATCCTGCATTTTGATTCTTTAAGTAAATAAAAAGTTTTATCAGAGTATGTTTTTTTCTCTCTCAAGGGAACTTGTGTCTGATATTTAACTTTTAAACAAATGCTAAAGTGAAAGCTTAAAAAAATGATGGTTCATAAATGATGGATAGAAATTGATTATAGTGTTGTTAGTATCCCCTCTTTTCCTTTCTCTTCCATTTTTGTTTCTCCCTCCACAGATGGCAATTTACACAAGTAAATTTAGTTACTAATTACTTTAGTGAAAAATACATTACTCATGGACTTTAGGAATAAAAGTTTTGTTATACATCTGTTTGATATATTTACCTTTTATTCTCTTCACTTAAATAATAGTGTTATCAACTATAGTCATCACATTTTACATTAGATCCTTAGACTTTAATTACATCTTACAGCTGGAAGTTTGTGCCCTTTTACCAACCTCTCCCTTTTCCCCCTACTCTCCAGCCCCTGGTGACCACTTTTCTACTCTGTGTTTCTATGAGTTTGACTTTTATTTTTTTTTAAGATTTCACATGTAAGTGATACCATACAGTATTTGTCTTTCTCTGTCTGGCTTATTTCACTTAGCATACTGTCTTCGAGGTCCATCCATGTTGTCACAAATGGCAGGATTTCCTTCTTTCTCATGGCTGAAGGATATTTCATTTTATCTGTCTGTCTGTCTGTCTGTCTTATCTATTTATCTCTCTACACCACATCTTTATCCATTCATCTATTGACACACTTAGGTTGCTTCTATATCTTGGCTACTGTGAATAATATTGCTGTGAGCATGGGAGTACAGATAGCTCTTCCACGTCATTTCATTTGGATACATACCCAGAAGTGGGATTGCTGAATCATGTCACAGTTTTGCCCTCAATTATTTGAGGAACCTCCATACTGTTCTCCATAGTTGCTACAGCAATTTACATTCCCATCACAGTGCCCAAGGGTTCCCTTTTCTCCACAGTCTTGTCAACACTTATCTCATGTCTTTTTGATAGTATTCATTCTGACAGGTGTGAGAAAGTATTGTGGTTTTGATTTCCATTTCTCTGATGATTAGTGATGTTCAGCACTTTTTTGTGTATCTACTGGCCATTTTGTGTCTTCTTTGTAAAAATGTCTATTCAGGTCCTCCTCCCTTTTTAAGTTTGATTGTCTGTTTTTTGCTAATGAGTTATATGAGTTCTTTACATATGATTTGCAAATATTTTCTCTCATTCCATAGGTTGCCTTCGTATTTCATTAATGTTTTCTTTTGCTGTGCAGAAGCTTTTTAGTTTAATGTAGCTCCATAGCTCCATTTGTTTACTTTTGCTTTTGTTGCCTTTGCTTTTTGTGTCAAACCCAAAAATCATTGTCAAGATGTATGTCAAAGAGCTTACCCTTTATGTTTTCTTCTAGGAGTTTTATGGCTTCGGGTTTTATAATTGTCTTTAATCCATTTTGAGTTGATTTTTGTGTATGGTGTAAGATAGGACTCCACTTTCATTTTTTTGCATGTGCTGTCCAGTGATGAAATTACCTTTATGTATTTTCTTTCTCCCTCACTTTCTTTTCACTCATATATTCAACATATATTTATTAAATACTTACCATAAGTATTCAGTTAGATGCTGGAAATAGAACGGAAAGTGACAGGGTCAAGACATGCTTCCCCAAAGTATAGTACCTTGGCATTTTGAATATTTTAAGTGAACAAAATTGAGAAGCAGCATGTGCAGGAAGGAGTCTCATGTGAGAGGTGCCCTATTCCTGGAGGAAATCTTTATCTTCAAGTCAGAGGGACACTGAGAGGGATCTAAATGGACAGGTCTGCTGTTGCCCTCAGTGTACTACACTTTGCTCATCCTTTTTTTTTTTGTATGACTTTCTACACTTCATCAAACTTAGTATAAAATTGCTTAGGTTTAACCACTACTTTGGGTCTTTATTTCCTTATAAAGTTTTCCACGTAAAACTTATGTTGAATAAATTTGTATACTCTTCTCTTGTTAGTCTGTCTTTTGTTCCAGGAGCCCCAGCTGAGAATTTAGAAAGGTAGAGAATAGAGACGTTTTTACTCCCCTACAAAAGGAAGACTTTATTAGTCAGGACTCATGGCTGCAAATGACAGGCATTTTAAAATACGTACTTAATGTTATAAACTGAATTTTTGTGTCCTCCCACCCCAAATTTATATGTTGAAATTGTCACCTTTAATGTGATGGTATCAGGAGCTAGGGCCTTTAGGAGGTGAGTAGGTCATTAGTGTGGAAGCCCTTATGAATGGAATGGTACCCTTTTAAAAAAGACCCCAGAGAGCTCTCTGACTCCTACCACCTGAGGACACAGGGAGAAGATACCTCTCTGTGTAACAGGAAGGATGCCCTTACCAGGCACCAAATCTGCCAGCACTTGATCTTGGACTGTCCAGACTCTAGACTGAGGAATAAATTTCTCTTGTTTATTATCAACCCAGTCTATGGTATTCTGTTACAGCAGCCTTGAGTGGACCAAAGCATTTAACTAAAGGGAAGGGCAGCAGTGGCGCAGCTGGGCCTCAGAAACAGCTTGAGTCAGGGACTTGACTACAACCAAGATTCTTTCTCACTTCAGACACTAGCTTCATTCTCTCAGACTTTCTTCATCGTTAAGGCCTAAAATGTTAACCTTAAAAAACTAATATTGCTCATCTCACCTAGTTTGACCAGCAGAGAAGTATTGAGAGTTGTTTCTCTGGTTCTGAATTTTTAAATTTGAAGGATGTTGCCTTGGTCTTCTGTTGCCAGGTCTCAGCAGTGGAACAATTACTTATAACCAGAGGGATGAGATACAGTTACTGATTCATCTTGAGTCAGATGGCTCCCCCTACACCAATTATTTTTTCCAGAAAGGCAAAATTTTAATAAGAATATAGAAAGTCTCCACTAGAACTATATGCAGTTGGTGCATATATAAAAAGTATTTCTCAAAAAAGTACTGAACGAAATAGTGACTTATTCTATAAAGGGAGACAAGGATGCTACTTCTATAAAGTTAAAAAATTTAGTGAGGGAAAGAGAGTTGGTCAAGCACAATAAACTATGGTAAGTGCTAGAATAAAGAACTTACATAAGTGCTGTGGGCATGTATAACTCAGCATCTGATTAGTCTAGGGGCCAGGGAAGTCTTGGAGGAAGAAGAAAGTAGAACTGAATTAGTAGAGCCCCTTTCAGGAGGAGTACGTAAGATGATGAAGAAAAAGAGATGATTCGAATTATCTGTGGTAGCTGTATCATAATAACCTCTTCTAACAGATGTAGAATTTAGGTCTTCTTAGTAACTTTCTAAAATGTATATTTATCTAATGAACATAGCATATGAAACAATGCTTTTAAAAGACCGTATTATTCATTCTTATATTTTTTATAAATTATGTTTGTAATTTTTGTCATTACAGAAACTGCGAGAAAACCAGTGCATGTAAATATGAATAGAGACATAAAGATGCCCCTGAGGAAACACGATTTGGAACTTCCAATGTCGCCTCACTGTGCGCCATCCAACCTCTGCATTGATGATATAGAAAACAAGTAGGTTTAAGCTAAGTTGTGTATATTATTAAGTGTTTAAATAGGTCATTATTGACCCTTATTTATTGGAAAATATACAAAGGACTTAGCCTTCTAGCTACAGGTTTTGTTTGTTTGAATGTTACAGTGTTACTAAACTCTTAAGGCCTTTATCAAATGACTAAATGTCCATACTGTTTTTTGTATGTAGTTTGACTTTCCTTATCATAAAAATGTCTCTTTTCTTTTAACATTTTTATTGATTTATAATCATTTTACCCTGTTGTCAAATTCCAGTGTAGAGCACAATTTTTTAATTATACATGAACATATATATATTCATTGTCACATTCCTTTCTCGGTGAGCTACCATAAGATCTTGTATATATATTCCCTGTGCTATACAGTATAATCTTGTTTATCTATTCTACAGTTTTGAAATCCCAGTCTATCTCTTCCCACCTCCCACCCCCTTGGGTCTCTCTTCTAATAAGATAATTTTTAGAAAACTCAGTAATGTTATGACTCTGGAATGATTTACTTAGAGTTCCATATAGTTTAGTATATTTGTGTAGAATAGTAGAAATTTTAAATAGATATAAAAAGATGGTCTGTTTTATTGCCAGCTATATTTTTAACCTTAACATTTTACTTTTATTAGTAAATACTATCAAAGACTAGACAGCAAGGAAGAACTTGGCCCAGCTCAGGTGAGGGTTTTTTTAAATTTTATTGATTATTTTAACAATTGTGACATGCCACCAGGTGATATAAATTTTTCAAATATTAGGGAAAACTAGTTATCCTTTAAAATTATTTTGTAGTCTTTGAAATTACTCTTTTAAAAGTTTTTAATGTAAGGAACCTTTACCTTAAGAATATTATAACTGATCACTTATGAGAAACATTTTGGAGTTCTGGTAATGTAGACTAGGCCTATGTGTGCATAACATTTGATTCTGCTTGTTACTGACAAGGTGCACAGGATAAATCATTTGAGGATTCCTGCTTTGGGTTTATGTGATCACTGAGCAATTCATCTCTTCAAACACAATGACTGGATTAATTTATTTTATATCAAATTATGGTTTTCAATATTCACATTGATCCCAAGATTATTTTATTTCAAAGTATTGCAAATGATTTTTTTTAGCACATAAAATTTTAATCAGTTAGGAAGTGCATTAATTGTGATTAAAGCTTGAAATGTTTAGGTCTAATGCCATGTTATTAATTGTCCTTTCTCTCCTCTGATTTGCCGAAGTTAACGTGGAAAGGTAACAACAGTGATACTAAAATCTCTGAGAGGTCTTTTCACCTGAATTGTGGGTTAATAAATGTCAAGTTTCCTGTCTTTAGGATGTGGCATGTAGGAGAATGGTGCTCGAAGAGGGAAGGGGCCAAGGGTAATAAAGGCAGATAGAAAGGAGTTCTTAAGTTACTTGGTAACCTCCTGTCTTAATAAGTCCTGCCAATTATTGATTGGCTTGCCTTTCCTTGGGACATTTTTGGCAATCCATGACCTTTTTCACTGCTATTTTGGCTTTTCTATTCTGTAGTTTATACATTTTGGCAAATCAAATGATTGCATCTTATTTCCTATAGTCATCACAAGTCATGGACTCAAATAGAATGTCTGAACCTCAGTTCAACAGAACAGAAAACTGCAGTTTCACTCCACCATCTTTTTCAGCAGAATCATCTTCTAATAAAAATATAAAACAAGATTTCATTCCCAGAATAGCACCTAGTTCTCAGAAAGTTGCATATAAAAGAAAGCAGAATGAACAGGTACCTCTAAATCATGAAGCATTTTGATACCATTATATTTCTATGATGTGATCTTCTCTTTTTATAGATTTAAAAAATATTAGCTGTGAATTGCTATAGATATAACCAAAGTAGGAGATAAGTTGAGTGTAATGTTTCTTCCTAAGTCAAAAACTTAATTCTCTGTGCTCTAGAAGATTATGAATCCAAAAACTGGAGTGTTCTTTAAAAATCTTTAAAAAATCATCTTTTTTATAAAGTTGATAGTGAAATTGAAGATAGTTCAGTGTACGAAGTAGTGATCGATGATTATAATCACAGTGAATGACTAACTTGTGATGTCACTGTAGCCCAATAGGAATGACATGGAAAGGATCCTGTGAATAGGCATACGTTAACCTTAATGATCATTGTATGTTCCAAAGTTACAGATGTAAAAGACATCTGAATTTTAAAATTCTGAAATATATCTTCCATGGAACATAGCAAATAGTGATCTTCTATGAAATTTATGTAGAGTTTAAAAAATACAATTATTCAAGTCATACTAATGTATAATAGTAGTGAGGAAGATGGTTATACAAACACTGTGTCTTAATAACAAATATTTAGTTTTGAATTTCTCTCATTTTTAACATGCAGCAGTCTTACATGTTTATGTATTTATTATTTATAAATTAAGTTATAATTATAAATTTATATAGTTATAAATTATGGTATATTTTAGTTATATGTAATATATGACATGATTCAATTTTATTTAAGTGTATTTTCTGTTTTTCAGAAAAGAGAAAATTAAGTATTATATTCCAATGATATGTGCTAGCTTTATTAATTTTAGGACTTAATTTTTGAAGGCTGCAATGAAAAACATTAAATTACCCATTCAGTTTGCATTTTACAAAGACTAAAACTTGCATCCTACATCAGCTTATAACTCATCTTTGTTCTGTTAAATAGTTCATAGGATAGGGAATGAAACTCTCTGTAATCTCTGCTTAAATAATCCCCTACTTACAGACTGCAGGTTAGTTATAATCTCCAGAGGGATAAATAATGTTATAGTTCACATAGCAGGAGAGAGCAAAGAGAGGCTAAAGTCCCAGTCTAAGTTATGTTATCACATGTGGAGTATCAGGGAAGTATTTAGTAGTTTATTTGGAGGGATTTCAAGAAAGTGAGAAGAATTAAAATGAAATTATAAGATACAAACAAAATATGTTGAAAAAAACAAGTTAGAAGAAAAAGTGGCCTGGGGTTCACTGGTCCCTAGAGAAGTCGTATGTGAGCCAATCTATAAGATTCCCTTCTCTTTTGACTTTGTTTCTCACTTCAGGGGATGACTTTGTCTCTGCTTATCTGCCACCCTTTCTCTGAGGTTGAGATGTGACATGTATTATCAGACTTTTTCAGCTCTTTCTTACTTTAGACTTTTTTTTTTAACTTTCAGCATCTCTTTTTGTCTCCCCTTCTTTTTTTTTCTTCTATTTCTGTCATTGATCATCTTTGGAATTCTCTTTTCTGTTTCATGGCTTATAAATAATATATATTATAGATATAAATTATTATTGCTGAATAGATTATTATTGAGCCAATATAATATATTTCTATGGTACTTTGCACATTAACAAATGCATTATCTCATCTGCATTTCACAAGTCTTCCAACATTTTCCTCATTTTGCTCTCAATGATACTGATACTCAGAAAGATTAAAGTAGCAGTCTAGAATTATTCAGTAAGTGGAAAAACTGAGATAAGTACAGTTGTTTTCTTGGGAGAGGAAAGATTTTGGTGACCTGGGTGCTTTTTAAATCTTTTTTTTTTTTTTTTAAACATTGGAGAAAATGGTTAGCTGACCATAGTATCAAGCCTGTTACTTTAATAATCATTCAAATACTAATATTGCTTTCATTGTTAGAACAGTATTTATTTTGTTTTCAATAAGGACACAATTACTTATTACACTAAAAAACACATTTTTTGAATATAGATGGTCACTTAAATGTTATTTAATGGTAAATAATTTAAATTGTATTTATGTACATTTACATTTTGGCATGTTCTTCCTTTCTTTTCTTCAGCTGAGTAATGTTAATTATTCTAATTCCTTGGTTTCTAAACTAAATGAAAGTCAAGATGCTCTCAGCTCATCATATGAAACTGCACAATTTGGAACATTATTTGAAAGATTAAATTGGTAAGTAAAAATGTTGACAGTAATAAAGAACCTGTAGCATTCTTTCTTTGAATTATTAATTTGATTTTAATGGACACAATTATCTTAGTTAGAAATGTAAACAGACCTAATTATTACTTATAGGAAAAAAAAACACTAGAAATAAGATTTAGTATATAAGAATTTTTAAGTAATTATTTTCTAATGTACACATTTACCTTCTGTTTATTTAAAAAATATTTTGGGCCAAGGTGTTTTGCATCTGTTTTATAATCTTCATGAGTTACTAGTTTCTCTTACTGTGTCATAAACATATTAATTTCTTATTCATATTTATTATAGTTGATCAGTGCCCTATTTTTATTTTCTAGATGTCTGTATATGAATCCTAGGTCTTTGTTTTAAAATCCTTTAAACTTGTCAAGCCAGTTTGAATTACTCTTGATAATTGTGGTGAGAAACCTTGACTCTGTAATCCTATTCCAGTCTTCCTCATGGCACCAGTTGCTTAAGCCAAAATAGAAGTTATGCTTGATTCTTCCCTATTCTCTAACTCCCAATATCCATTTCACCAACAAAGTATTGTCATTTCTGTATCTAATAAACTTAAAAATTTTCTGCTTATGTTTTCATCTCTACGAGTTCCATCCCACTGTAAGCAACCACTGCCTCTTACCTGGAGAATTGTAACAGCCACAAAACAGTTCTTGTTTCCTCTTTGCCCTGAGATCTTTTTTTTTTTTTACAACTTTATTAATATATAATCAACATACACTGAACTGAACTTATCTAAAATGTGCATTTTGATAAGTTTTGACATATATGAACAATAATGAACATATTTGTCATCTCCAGCAATTTTTGGGCACCTTAGTAATCCCTTCTGGTCATTTCACATCCCTTACCCCCATTACAAAGCAACTGCTATCTGCTTTCTGTCATTAGTGATTAGTCTGTAAGTTGCATAATACATAATAAGTTTCTCCCTTTTTTGGTCTAGCTTTTTTTCACTCAGCATAATTATTTTGAGATTCATCTGTATTGTTTATCGTGTGTATAAGTCTGTTCCTTTTTATTACTGAGTAGTGTTGCATTGTATGGACGTAGCACAACTTATTCATCTGTTGATGGACATTTGGTTTTTTCCTCCCAGTTTTGGCCATTTCAAGTAAAGCTGCTATGAACATTGCTGCTATGAAATTTTTGTTTGGACATATGCTATCATTTCTTCTGTGTAAATATCTACAAGTGGAATGGATGGGTCATATGGTACTGTGTGTTTAACTTTTTAAGAAGGTGGCAAACTGTTTTCCAAAGTGCTTTGTATTATTTTACATTCTCATCAGCAATATAAATCTCTCTCTTCTTTTTGTTCTCTTCTCTTGTGGTTTGATGACTAGAGAAGTTCCTTTAACATGTGTTGTAAAGCTGGTTTGGTGGTTCTGAATTCTTTTAGCTTTTGTTTATCTGTGAAGCTTTTGATTTCTCCATCAAATCTGAATGAGAGCCTTGCTGAATAGAGTATTCTTGGTTGTAAGCATTTCCCTTTCATCAGTTTAAATATATCCTGCCACTCCTTTCTGGCCTGTAGAGTTTCTGCTGAAAAATCAGCTGATAATCTTATGGGAGTTCATTTGTATGTGATTTGTTGCTTCTGTCTTGCTAATTTTAATATTTTCTCCTTATCTTTAATTTTTGTCAATTTGATTACTACATGCCCCAGTGTGTTCCTCTTTGGGTTAATCCTGTTTGGAACTCTCTGTGCTTCCTGGACTTGGGTGACTATTTGCTTTCCCAAGTTAGGGAATTTTTTGGCTGTTATCTCTTTGAATATTTTTTCAGGTCCTTTCTCTCTTCTCTTTCTCGGACCCCTATAATATGAATATTAGTGTGCTTCATGTTGTCCCAGAGTTCTCTTAAACTATCCTTATTTTTTTTTTCGTTCTTTTTTCTGTTCTGCAGTAGTGATTTCCATTAATCTGACTTTTAGCTCACTGGTCTGTTCTTCTGCCTCATTTAGTCTATTCTTGGTTCCTTCTAGCCTGTTATTCTTTTCAGTAATTATATTCTTCAGCTCTGTTTGGGCATTTATTATATTTGCTAATTCTTTGTTAAAAATGTTCCTCTGTGTATCTATACTCCTCTAAACATCTTCATCATCATTACTCTAAACTCTTTCTTGGACAGATTGCCCCAATCTTACTTTTGTGTTTAGAATCTTTCAATGTTTCTTACTGCTCTTTTCAGAAATAAAACTCTGCATGATTTTGACCTCTTTGTACCTTTCAAGTCTTAGGTCATAAGTTTTCTTTTACTGATTCTAGTCTAGTTTTATTCCTCTTTTTTAATTTCTCAAACATACTGCAAGTCTTGCATTTGTGCTTATTTTTCCATCCTCCTGGTGTATGCTTGCTCCTTTCTTCACACGTCTAACCCTTCTGTATCTTTAGCTTATTTATCACTTCCTTATTAGGAACTTTCCTGACCATACCATCTGAAATAGGATCTCCAACATGTTATTCCATCATGTGATCTTCTAGCACCTATAACCATCTTTTTTATTTGTTTACTTCTTTTATCCATTGTACTTATTAATGGTTAATTATCTTATCTGTTTGTTATCTTTCTTCACTAGAATATAAGCTGTATGTCCCCTTATGATACAGTAGGCATATATTAAATACCATAATTTTAATGAATTTTGTATTTACCTATAAGAAAAAATAGATTGTTAAAGAAGTTGGATTGATTTGTCTTAAGATTTAAAAATTTTTAGCATCATTTCTCTCTTCCATTTTTACAAGCAGCAATCCTTCTAAACATTTAGTCCCCAACTCAAATGTCAGATACCTCATTTTTCTTAAGCAAAACAATTTATTCTATTTTCGGTAGTAACACTTGGCTGTAGGATAGTGCTTATCAATTTCTAATTTTTCTTGCCTCTTCTAAACTATTTCTTGTGAGCAATGAATGTGCACTATGCACTTCTTTATTGCCTAGATCTTTCAGTTAGTGATTCTCCTAAATCTGAATGCTTCAAATATCTTTTAAAAATAATGACTTAACATTTGTAGTATGCTTTCTAACTTATGGTGTGCTCTTACATTTATTTTCTTATTTAGAGTAATAGAAATTTCTCTGATGTTAATGGTATACATTATTGCATACTATATAGGTTGTGCCTTTTGCTATAACAGAATAGCATTATTCTGCCCCAAACACCAAACAGACCCATATTGAGAAGTAGTGAAGAATCATGATCTGTGAGATTCATGGACAAAACGTCTCTTTCTCTTTCATGTCAAACTGAAATATTTTGTCTCTCTGTCCCCAACACATGGCACAGTGCCTAGAACAGAGTAGGTATTCCTGCTCATTAAATATTAAGTAAATATCTTAAAAATAAAATTGGAAATCAGAGTCTTCCGTGTTTCTTTTCTGAATTTCTTTGGTACCTCCAATCTCTGACCAAAAAAAAAAAACTCAATTGCAAGTAAATTTATAGCTAGTCAGTGGCAGCAAAATTCAGAATATCTTGATTTGTAATTATTTTCTATGATAACTTTTATTCTTTTATACAAGTTGGACATAACTTAGAATTATAATTTCTCCAATAGAAGGGAACTTGCAAGCTAACTAGTCTAACCTTTTCATCTAATTCATTTTATCTCTTGGATTTATTATTTATATATGAATTTGTATCTATATTGCTCTTCCTTGGGCACTTCAGTTGTTTTGTTAGGTTAAGTTCCTTGATAGGTTAGGGAATATCTATTATAATGTTCTCATAACTATTTTATTTGATGCTTTAACATTGGTGATAATATTTCTCTCTGCAGTCCTCAAAATATCTTTCTCAGGCTAAATGGAGCAACATTTCTGTACAGTGGTTATCCAGGTTATTCTCTAGATATTATTACAGGAGACATACTATATATTAGTTAGTTGAACCACATACTAGTTTTTCATGTTGAAGTACTAAACTAAGTACAGATTATTTTTATATTCACTAAGGCATTGGAAGAGTATATTTGACAAATTTCCACCCAAAGCAATATTTATTTAAATTAAAAAAATGACAACATAGTCTAGGTAAATGTTAGTAGTACTCAACATGTTCTCTAAAAATTTAACTTTAGGTGTTTCTACACGAGAATGTTCTATGTTTTTCTTGATAAATATGTTTTTATTTACCCCAAAGTCCAGGAAATAGAGATGTCCTTACTGGGAGACCTGCTATAGATATAGGTGAAGATTGTGGAAGCATGGATGAGAGAAGACAGTCAGACTTCATTACTGAAAAAAAATCATTGCAGCATATTTGGGGAGAAAACCGAGAAGAGGCTTCAGATGAAGATGTAAACCAGCCACTCTCAAGCCTTCAATCAGAGAATTCTGCCTCTTTTATTAGTGAAAATATAATTAATTTGTTAAACATCGATCAACAGAAGATAAAGAAAACCTTTGATGGGTGTGGTTATGACAACATGGGAGATATTTGTGGAGTCATTAGTTCTGATAAAAACCATTTCACAGATCAATGCATTAGAAGTATTTTTACAGATCCAGATTTGACTTTAAGTAATTCTACTTTTAATAAAGAACATTATCCAGAAAAGTGTCAACCAAACAAGAACTGTCAGAAAGAATACAACAATAATGAAAGATATAATTTTAGTACGTCTTTTGAGAAGGATTATTACCCATCCAGCTCTGATAAAAAAGGTTGGTGTTATGTATAGAAAATGTAATCATCTATTGGGTTTTTTGTTTTCATTTTGTGTGTGTGTGTGTGTGTGTGTGTGTGTGTATGTAGGAATATGAACTAAAACAACATTCTGTTATATGACATTGTGGACCAGTGATATCCCTCTCTATGTGTCATGCTAATAAGCTTCAAATTAAAAAACAAATAGTCTACTAAAGTTTTAATGTAATGTATACTTTTATTTTTAAAGGAAAATTTGAAAGTGATTACCAAGAGAAGACACCACAGAAAAAGATACAGAAATATTCAGTGAACCATATGTAAGTTTTTAGGTAAATCTGGGGAAAGCAAATCAGGGTCTAGTATAATGTATCTTGAAGGTTTGAACTAATGCAAAATGAAGTAGGCATATTGCTGTCTCAGGATCAGCTGACTGGTCTGATAAAGGCTTATCAGTTGTCAGAACCTTGGTAATATGGTGCTAGTTGAGAGTTTGGTCATATTTATCAGTGCAGAAATATATTTTTATTTGACTTAGTTAATTAGATTTTGGAAAACTGATTTATGTGTTCAGGAAACTTATTTCCCTACTAGAATGTCAATTTATTAATTTACCATAAGAAATAGAAGGGTCACATGTATAGGAAGCTTACTGGCATGATAAGCCTATTTTCTATCTTTTGGCAGCTCTCCATGGGAAGGTTGCGTGGGTAGTATAGAATCAGAACAAGGGAGTAACAGAATTCAAATGTTAATGGCATAAATAATTTATGGAAGTGAAATTATAGGTAATTAAAGAATACTTGCAGCTTCAAATTATGCCTAACTTTCTTGGTAATTGTGATCTGGTCAAATCTTGGTAATTGAAAATACTGAACTAGCATAGATTTTTATTTTGGAAGAACTTTCTTATGGAAATATTTAAAATATCTATTATTAAAAAGAATAATTAGATGCCATTTTTATGGGATTGGCACAATGAATTAAAAAATTGATTCACAAGTTATTTAATGAAATCAACAAATTAAATTTACTTTATTGTCTAGTCTCCAAATATTCAGAGACTTATGAATGAAGTACAGAATGTTAAACCTTGAATTTTAAAATGTGATTTATGAAAGTGGTTTAGAACATTCTCATCACATCATTAACATGTAAAATACCAAGATTGACCTACCTATAATGAAAAGGCTCCATAAAATGGAGATTATGAATATTTTTTGTGAAACTTCCCTCATAATTCTGATCTGCAGCCAACTTTGAGAAGTATAATTTAGAATAATAATTTTTAGAGGGAATAAAGCAAATTCTAATACTGTCTTGTTTATGTCCCTTAGGGGTTATATCTCTTTGGAAGAATTGCATTCTAAGCAATCACAGGACTTCGGACGTGGTGAGGTAAAGTGTATCTTACATTGTCTTTCCAAATAACTCATTTGTATTATTATGTCACATTTTAGTATTTGCAATTTACTTTGATTTAAGGTTAGCTTTTTTGAAAATTTTCTTTTTAGGCTCTTGTTCTTTTATATATAAATTGCTCTGGGGATGTTATAGCTTAGATTTAGAAATAAAATAAACAATATTTCAGAAACTGTAATGTGCTTTATTTCAGACAGACCAATCTAAATAACATTCAAGTTCTTTCTGTAAGTCCTATAAAATTTCTTTCAAGATGAAATTGCTTTAGGTTTCAACGTGCTACAGGTAAACATAGTAATATATTTAAGAATGCTGAAACGTCTATAATTATTGGTTATTTAAGTTGTAACCCTTGCTCATAATAAGGGTGTATGACTCATCCAAAAACCCCAGAATACATATTCTTTTCAAGTGCACATGGAACATTCTCTAGTATAGACCACGTACTAGGACACAAAACAAGATTCAACGAAATTAAGAGGGTAGAAATTATTTCAGGAATCTTTTCTGACCACAACAGTATGAAACTAGAAATCAAATACAGAAAGAAAACCAGGAAAAGAACAAACATGGACTAAAAAGAAGATGCTACTCAAAACCCAGTGGGTCAGCATAGAAATCAGAAAATACTTTGAGACAAATGACAATGAAAACATAACCTTAGAAAATCTATGGGATGCAGCAAAAGCAGTCCTAAGAGGGAAATTCATAGTGATACAAGCCTTCCTTAAATAAGAAAAATCTCAGTAGATTAAAAACAAAGTTTCTACTTTATAGAACAGGGAACAATATTCAGTATCTCGTAATAACCTTTAGTGAAAAGAGATTTATCTAACTAGAGATTCATAGCCACATTCTCTAATAAAAATTTACTTGATAGAAATCAACAACAACAGAAGATGCTTAACCTCCCTTTTTGGAAATTAAGAAGCACTGTCAGTTTTAAAAAGAAAAGAAAAAATGAGAAAAATTAAAATATTATGAATTACATAGAAATTGATGAAAGTCAAAACCAATGGTGTATTCTTCAGAAAATGTATACCTCTCAGAGCTTTTATTTTATTATTTTAAAAAACCTGAAAATAAATGAACTGATATCTATCTTAAGAAATTAGGAAGAGAATAACAGAGTAAGTAGATTGCTTTAATATCTTTGTCTTTTTTCCACTGCATTTACTAGGGTTACCTGAAGCCTTTCTCTTTTTGTCAGTAATCCATCCCTTGGCAGATACCTATTCTTTTGCTCACTCTTTCAAAAACCAACTTTAATTTTGTTTCATTTTATTGTTCATCACAGGCAAATTTCTCTTTGTCGTTTTAAAATCATCTTTGTTGAATTAAAGTACTATGAAGGAAGAATGCAGTAAGATGAATTGGTGTGGTTAAAAGGGAGATATAAATGTGAATATCATTGTATATACTGAGAATTGTTAAACTTTTGTTTTTCTTCTAGATTTTGGTGGAAGAAAGAGGAATGTGTTCTTTAAAAGGCAGAGCAATGTCTGCTAAGAACAACTGTCAGTATAACTGTAAGTGAATTTTATTCTTCTACAAAAATTAACATTTAAATGGAAATCAGTTAAATTATAAGATTTTTTTAGATTTTTGCAGCAAATATGTTTTATAGGTACCTTAGAATATGCTAGTAATGCAACTGGCTTTTTAAAATTAATTTTATCTTCTATAAAATGATATACATGAAGAGTATTTATCATGTATATATACAGCTTAATGAATAAAAGAAAACAGATATTCTTGTTCTTAGTTTGTAGCTTAAGAAATAATCCATAATCAGTACTTTTGATTGTCTTCTTAATTGCATTTCTTATCCTGCCCCCTAGAGGTAACTATTATCTTCAACTTTTTTTTTTTTTTTTTTTTTTTTTTTTGGTGATATCACACATAGGCTTTTCCAGTTGCTTGGTTTTGGGCTTTCTATAAACTGAGGCAAAATGTATATTTTTCTGAAACTTACCTTTTTTCTTTTCACCCAGTAATATATTTTGAGGGTCATCCACTCTGATACTTGTAACACGGGTACATTTCATTATTTGTTTCCTGCTATGCAGCCTTCTGTTGTGTGAATGATGCATAATCTATTTATGCATCTTCTGGCAATGATTATTTACACTGTTTTGAATATTTTGCTATGATAAACAATGCTACTTTGGCAATTCTTGACATTTCTCTTGGCACACATCCATAAAAACTTCCTCTAGGGTATCGTTTATGTGATATGCACTCTTCTAAGTCATGCAGAATTGTTTTCCAAAGTAGATGTGCCAGTTTAAACTTCCACAAGCAATAAATAGGAGTCTTAGTTGTTACACATTCTCACTTTCACTGGGTCAGCTTTTTATCATTGTTGACAGTGTGATATCTCACTGTAATTTTAATTTATATTTCCTATTATTGATTAGGTTCATTGGCCATCCATGTTTCATCTGTAACATGCCTTCAATGTCTGTTGCCCATGTTCCTTTTAGGAAGTTTGTCTTTCCTTATGGAATGTGTCTTTTGTATATCTATGTCCTATATGTTTTTTATATATTCTAGATTTGAATTGCTTGTAGACTTCTGTGTAGTAAATATTTCATATTTGAGTGATCTTTTTATTCTATACTGTCTTTTAATGGACAACACTTTCTGGCACTTTGTAGATATTTTGTGATAGAATGATTCTTCTATCTAGTCTGCTAGGATGCCTAGAAATCTTTGTAGACTTTTTCTTTTTCATTTAATTTAACTTTCAAATATGTAAAGAATTAATTTGATTTCTACCCCTGTCCTGTCTGCCCTACTTCCTTCTGCCTCACATGAGTAACTATTTTTGTTGGTTTGTTGTTTATCATTCCAGTGGGTTTTTTTTCCCCGAAAATAAAGCCCTAAACATATAAATGCACCTGTATATGTATCTTCATTCCCTGCCTTTCTTACCCTTAATGTAATGTGTGGTATTTTATTTAATACCAGATATTTTACAGATGAATTAAATGGATTAATTTGTTTAACAAATTTTCTATGTATTTTCTCATATAAGTACTGGACATTTACTCATCCCTTATCTATGACCATTTAGTAATCCATTGTGTGGGGGAACTATAGTTTACTCAGTCAGTGCCCGGAGGTGGATATTTGGGTTATTTCTAGTACCTCACTCTAACAACAGTGCTGCAGTGCACAACTTTGTGCACATGTCTTACTTGTACAGGTACATTTTCAGGGTAATTTCTAGAAGTGGGATTGCTGAGTCAAAGGAGAGATACATTGTGGGGTTTTTTGATAGTTATTGCCATAATTCGGTTTTGATAGATATTGCCAAATTCCCCGTTGTTTCATTTGGTGGTCCCACTAGAAGTGTGCTTTTTATTCCACAGCCTCACCAACAAGCTGTGGTCCAATTTAGGAATTTTTGTGAATCTTACAAACATCGAAGTTTGGGTTTGCACTTCTTTTTTTGTGAGTGAAGTTGGACATCTTTTTAAAATATGTAATGGCTATTATCAATCTTTTCTTTTATACCTTTGGATTTCATTAGAAAGACTCTCTACACTCCTTGGTTACGAATGAATTCACTTATATTTTCTTCTAGTATTAGTATTATTTTATATTTTTACATTTATATGTTTAATCTATTAGGAGTTTATCCTGATTTAAGGTGTGAGGTAGCCATCGATAGAAGTTTTTAAAATGCATCTTTTCCGTAGGTCTTTTTTACATGCGAAATTTTTTTATATACCAATTTCCGTATATACTTGAGTCTGGGGGCTTTCTTTACTGTTCCATTGATCTCTCCTAGTCTTCATTTGCTAATATCACATTTTTACTATGATTAGTTTATAGTAGGTTTAATTTCTAAAACAATGACACCTCCCTTTGCACTTTTTAAAGAGTTTTTCTGGCTTTCTTTTTTACGTATAAACTTTGAAATCAACTTGTGTAACTCCAAGGAAATGTTTTAGTTTTTATTAGGAAAATACTAAGTGTATATATTAAACTAAGTGTGAATTGTCATCGTACTGATGTTGAGTAGTCCTTTCTAGGAATAAGGATGTCTTTTTATTAATTCAGTCTAATTTTATATCTTAAATAACTGTTTAAAATGCCTTTCCACTTTCAAGTGTTCCTCAAGTAGCTTCTGCATGTCTCTTGTTAGATTTAGCTGTAGGTATGTTTTGTCGTTTTTGTTCCTACTTTGGTGTGAATGCACACCCTATGTTTCTACATTAAGAGTCTGAATTTTGGACTTAGGCACATGTGTGTTGATTATTTTATTGATAGTTTTTTAAGAGGTGATTTTGAAGCAATCAGTAATTTTGGGAAGAGTGATTCTTCAATTCTGTGAAAATGATTATTACTTTGGTTATTACTTTCTCTTCATGTGTCTTTTTTTTTATTGTGGTCAAAAACACATAATGTAAAATTCACCCTTCAAAAGATTTCCAAGGGTACAGTATACCTTCCCTTCTTCCCAGCCTCTGGAAAACACTATTCTATTTCTATAAGTTTGAATATTTAATATTTCTCTTACAAGAGGAATCATACAGTATTTGTCTTTTTGTGACTGACTTATTTCACTCAGCATAATGTCCTCAAGTTTCATCCATATTGTAGCATATGACAGGATTTCCTTCTTTTATAATGCTGACTGATACTCCATTTTATCTATAAGCCCACATTTTCTACATCCATTCATTTGTCAGTAGACATTTAGGTTGCTTTCATTCCTTGACTATTGTAATTAATACTGTGGTGAACATGGGTGTACCAGTATCTCTTCAAGATTCTGTTTTCACTTCTTTTTGGATATAAACCTAGAAATGGGATTGCTGCATCATGCGGAAGTTCCATTTTAAAATTTTTGAAGAACATTGATACTGTTTTTCCATATCAGTTACACCATTCTTCATTCCTGCTAGTAGTGCACCAGGGTTCCAATTTCTCCACATCTGTGTCAACACTTACTGTTTTCTTGTTTTTTTTTTTTCTTCAGTGAGTGGCCATCCTAATGGGTGTGAGGTGATATCTCATTGTGGTATAGATCTTTTAAAATAGTGAATTTTGCTAATGGATTTAGCGATTTGGAACATCCCAGCATTCCTATTATAAATCCCACCAAGTCATGATGTATTATGATTCTGTTTACTATTCTATTTTAATTTTAAATTTAAAAATGTTAATATTGATGTAAGATTTTTGCATTGATATTATGATATTGGTCTGTAAAGTGTGTGTGTATGTATGTGCATGTGCAATCTTCCTCATATTTTGGTATTAATGTTATACCAGGTTCACAAAAAAAAATTTAAGTTCATATATGTAAAAATTGAGGCTATTTGAAAGCTTTCTTGAAATTTGAATTACCTCTTCTCCACCCCAGTCCCACTGCCTTATTACATATCCTAATCACTTCATAACTTGATTATTGGGTTAATCTCCTAACTGACGTGCTTTCATACAGTTTCACCCTTCTTTAATACATCCCCAATTAGATGCCTTGGTGGATGGTCTAAACTTCCTTTAATATTAAAGTGTGCCCTTACACTTTCTTTTCCCTCGTCCCAAATGCTGGTTTTCATCTTCCCTTTTTTGAAGTTGTTTACTCATCTTCCAAAGCCTATTCTTTATACTTGCGCTTTCTCACTTACTCTTCACCAGTCTCTTTCCCTAGAGCTCGTCGCACTTAGGTTTCTGCTGCTTTGGTAACTTACATGACTCCACTGTTGCACTAAATCTTGTGACTATTTCAGAAATTAATTGTATGTCTTTTTCTCCATCTTAAGATTCTGAACATTTTGAGCATTATGGTCATATATTCCTAAAAGCTGTTACCATGCCTTACATAAGGCACTTAATAAGTGTTGAATTTATATTTTAATCTGCTTATCGTTTCTTACACTGTTAGAGGGAAGACATCCATTTAAAGATGTTTATCTTCCCTACCAATAACTATGGGTTTACTGTACCTATGAACTGAATGAACCTTATTGTGGGGGAATGCCCTTAGATCATGTTGTTAGTAAAATCCTACCGTTCACTTTTCTGTACTCTGCTTTCCGCTGTTGAGGAGAACCTGCTTTGTGAGGGTGTAAATTCCTTTTGGAAGGATAAACTAAGGGTGACTGAGTTTACCTAAGTTCTCTCTACCTCTCGGCTGACTGCTGGTTAGATTCTGTTACAGAAAGCATTGGTTCTGATCCGAGAGGAATACATAGTGCTTATGGTCTGCTGCATATAGGAAGGCATGTGATTTGGTATGTGTTGTTGGACCACATCCCATTACCTTTTGCTTCTTTTTGATAGCAAATCCCTTTTCACAAACAGGTAAGGGAGTGATTGATTCTACTGTTGATCTGTAGTGTTTGTGTGTTCTAAGGAGTCATGACCTATTTCTCAGGCCCATTTTTAAACTTTACTTGCAATCATAAGAGAACAAATTAAACAGATACTGAAAGACTAACATACTATACATGCTTTGAGTTGATTTTTTAAATACAGTTTTAAAAAAATTGTCACAGCATCAAATGTCAATAAATTATATAGTATCTTTTTTATATTATTTTGAATTCATAAGTGGCTTTAAAATTCTACATTTATGAAATTATATTTTAGGTTAAATATAGTTTTTTTAATTTATTTCTTTTTGGTGGGGAGGTGGTAATTAGGTTTTTATATGTTTATTTTTAATGGAGATACTGGGGACTGAATCCAGGACCTTGTGCATGCTAGGCAAGCACACTGCTACAAGCTCTACCCTCCCCCTTAATATAGTTTTGATTATATGGTGAAGCTCTATTTACTAGATTAGCAAATGTTTGGTAATTTGAGACTTAGTAAACTTGGCTTATTCTTCCTTCCTACAGGTTGAAACTTTAAATTATTTGTTTATAAAAAATGGTTCATATGTTAGAAAAAAATCAATTCAATTTTCTCCCTTCTCCTTTCTTCCCTTAGGTTTTATGCCATTATTTTACTCGTAGATACACATCTTGTGTGTGTAGAATAAACCCATAACAACCTGTCAGAAATGCAAGCTGCCAAGTATCCAAAGTTCTAACTAGTTTTGGTACACTTTAAATGCTCCGCACTGTGTCAGCTAAACTTATTTTACTAGCAGGTATCTTCTGCTTATCTATGTATTAGTAAATACCATTTATCACAAATTGAATCTTTATTTTCAGATCTCGATTCTTCACAGAGTAGTCAGTCTACTGGGTACTCTCCAAGGCCAACAGACAGTTGTTTCAGTTCCAGTTCAGAGATGGTAAGTTATGCTCTTTATTTTTTTTACTTATTAATATATGCTCTACTAATTTGGAATGATTTGTATTTTTCATAGTTTACCTTTTCATTCTGGAAAAAACTAGTTGAGAGATTGAATAGTGAAAATAAATGTAAACAAAAGTATGAAAATATTAAAAATACAAGAAGAATATAAATTAAAATGTAAGTGTGCATCATTCATTCATATTTACAAAGATGATGAATGTGTTCAGTGTTATTTATAAAACCCAGTCTCATCAAAATGAATGTGCGTACGTAAGTGATAAAGTTGTGTTTCGTTTTAAAAGAATCTATTCACAATAATTGAAAACCTGAAACAACGCAGAATATGTACAAAAAGAAAGTCTCAAGGCTTATATGAAGAAAACTATAAAATGTTATTATAATCTGAGTACTTGGAGTGACATATTTAATGCTTAGAGGGAACTGTAATCTGAAGAGTTGGAATGACACTTTCTATTCTGAGTGAGTTTCTCACAAATTACGTGTTTAAATGAAATTCTCCATTCATACTTCATTTTCATTTCATCTGCTTTTTGTCTCTGGCTCGCTGTTCAAACTGCTGTTGCTAAGGAAGGACACCAGTGACCTCTAATGGTGCCAAATTCAATGGACATTTTTCAGTTTTTACTTTACAAGAATCTCTAATAATATTAGTAGAAATGATTATTATCTTTTCTTGGAACGTTTTCTTCACTTTGCCTTTGTGATACACACTATCTTAGTTTCCTTCATACCTCTCTGAATGCTTCTTTATTCCTTTGCCTACTTCTCTCCCACCCTTCCCTACGTACAAATATTGTAATGTTTAGGGTTTACTCCAGGACCCTTTCTTCTCTTAACCTACACTCCAAACTCTAGATGACGTTACACACTCCAGTGACTTTACATGCTACTGCCTGGTTGACGGCAGTTCTCAACTTTATGATTTTAGTCCAGACCCTTAATTAGATGTCCTATTTCTTGGATTATCTTCTTGGATATTTCACAAAAATCTTTATTTTCACACCCCAAACTGAACACCACTGATCTTCTCCCCAGATCAGTTTTTCTCATGGTTCCCATATTAGTAGATACCTTTTCTATCCACTCGATTGCTCGTGCCAGAAACTTTAGTTTGTCTTTTCTTTCTGTCTCCTCTGCCTCCCTTAACCTCATTCATTCCATCGTTTCATCCAGTCAATTCAACCTCCAAAATAAATTGCGTATTTATCTATTTCTCTCAACTTCTGGTGTCAGTACATCAACCTAAGATACCTTCACCTTGTGCTTGAACTATTGTGGTTGTTGCCCAAGAGATCTCCTACTTCACTCTTGCCCTACTTTTCCCCCAGTTAGCAGCCATCATGATCTTTGGAAAACTTAAATTGAATGATGTTATTCCTATATTTAACTACTCAGTGAGTACCTGTTTCACTGTAGACTCTAAACTTCTTGCAGTGACTGTAGGACATGTGTGATCTGTGATCTGGCCTCTGACTACATCTCCAGCTTCTCATATTCGCCCTCTTTCACACTTCACACACACTGACATTGTGGTTTCCTAGCTTAGTCTCTTTTCTGCTTCAGGGCATTTATGTGTCCTGTTTCCTCTGTTATTCATCCTTTAGGGCTCAGCTTAAATAGTCAAAAATTTTTTTGTAAGCCCCTCCTTGGCTCTTTGATCTAAATTAGGCCCCTCAGTTATGCTCTTGAAGTGTTTCATGCTTGCTCTTCAGAATGTTTTTCTCAAGTTGTAATTCCATATGCTTGTGTGTAGCTATTTGATTAATGTCATTTCCACCCATGAGAATGTGTGCTGTATGAGGGCAGCAACCATGTCTGCTTCACTCATGTTGCAGATGCTAAATGATCATTTATTTCTTGAGTAAGTAAATGTATTGATCCTGTTTTCTCTAATGTATGCCGAGCCAGTTTCAGGGTTATTTCTGGGGCTTACTTTTTCTATTTTAGTGCCAATCAGCTGAGACCAATACCTGATTTTAGGATTTTTTATGTTAACTTTGCTTTTTAATTTTAACTTGAATAATCAATACTTTTATATAAAATTTTCATTAAGAGAGTATTTTGGTTAGTTCAGTAATTGAAAATTCTATTTTTAATGCATTTGAAAAATTCAAGCTACTAAATTGGAGTCTGGATGTTTTTAAAGTTCTTAAAATTTTACTTTTTAGATAACAGTTGTGATATTTATTACTACTTAACTTCCTGTTCGCTGATATTCTTCCTGAATCTTCTTTGAGACTGAGCCCATAAAGATAAAATACAGATTTTTTTTTTTTACTTAATGGGTTAATGAGTTAATAAGAACAAGTTTATGTGTTTCTTCTTCTTTCAAAGTTTTACTTCTACTCCATTCTTTTTAAGTGGTTGAAGAGTGTGTGTTGTGTATCATTTCCTCTGTGTGAAAAGGTAGGAGGAGGAAGTAGCCTATGATTAAGGCACTAATAAAAAACAAAAGTTCTCTTCTCTTTTCAGTGCTTTTGCATTTTTAATACAAGGATTATTATTATTGTTCATGCTATTGTAAAATCCATAACCTCCTTGATTTAAAAAAGATTAAAAATCTAGGTTGATTTGCCACTTCCCAAAGTCTCTTCTGTATTTTGAGGTTTTCTGTAATGTGAATTTTAAGAATGTCTCCTTTGAAGTGATTGAATGATTTTTTAAAATTTAAGCATCATTTACAGCACAATTACTAATTTTTTTTTAGCCATCTGAAGATGAAGATCAAATATTGCATCAAACTGAAGATTCAAATAAGAGATCCATCAAAACCAAAGAAACAAGTAGTAATTTTAATTTAGAAAGCATGGGAAAACTTCCATATGATAGGATTATTAAAAACAACGCCAATTTTCATAAACAATGTGAGAGTTTTCACCAGCTTTCAATGAAAAATAATACAGATCAGTTTCCACAGCCTCAGTGTAATAACTCAGCACACATATTGCATAACAAAACCAGTAATAACTACATTCTACAGTTTGCAAAATGTGATGCATGGGCACAAACAGAGAGTGAGCCTGTAATGGAAGGAAAATTAGATGCTGCTGTACAGTGTGATATTATTTCAAAATGTAAATGTAGAAGTGATGTGGCTTCTTTTTGTAATGTTGAAAGGTGCAATGAAAATATTAAGGCCGATACCACTGGAGGGCAGACAATCCTTTAAAACAGCTAATATTCTAAAATCTCAGTCCAAGATTTAACATTTGACTTGATGTTTAGAATTTCATTAGCATAATAAAGAAAGAAAATTTTTGTAGTTAAACAGGTGGTGAAAGTATTTGAAAGATACGTTTGTTTTAAAATTTTTAATATTGTTAATTTATGCATTTAGTTTCATGTAGATATTTTAATAGCTTTAGTATATCTTAAAGTTTTTAGAAAATAATACATATGTAGATTTACTATCTGTCATTATTATGGTGGTTATTCATTATATTATGACATGTTGCTGTTTGTAGATTAAGGTATGTTAGATTGCTTCCTTCTTTACTGCAGTTATTTGAAAATTTAGTGTAGTTGCATCTTTTAGCAAAAATGTTCTCTTCCAGGATTTTAAGACAGAAAATAATACTAAATAATAGCAAGTATATTTTATAACCTCATTATAAGAATTTTCTTAGCTTCTTATCTTAAATGTTATTATACCCTCATTAAAATTCTGCATTGATTTTTAGATAAAATATTTTTTCTGATTTGTTTGGAGAACATTTTCTATTGGTTCTTGTATTAATTCGAAGGAATGGTTTTTCTTTTCAAGATTAAAAAAGGCGTTTCAGTGCTTTTGTAAAAGAATTGTTCAACATTGGAAAAATTACTTGTTTACTGATTTTAATATTGCTAAGATTTTCATAAATACTACATCAGAATTTCTCACTAGTAAAATATAGGCTTTGTCTTGAACATAACATTTATTTTTGTTGTCAAGATTTTAAATGTCCAGACTAGTCATTTTAGAAGATGAACATCTATATGGATATATTACCAAGTGACCAGCAGGGGGCATTCTGATATCTAACTGAAACAAAAATAAAATTGTTAGGGAGTTTCTGTGCGTTTAAAGAAAGGGATGATTAGATACTGAATTTTTGCATGTACACATATCACGCAATAGTTTGTGTTCTAGAGGTGATCTGAAACACAACGATTTAGAAACACTAACAGCTAATATTTAACAGCAATCTTCATGTTTTTAGCTAGTTTTAGTAAGTTCTTTTTGCTCCCTCAGGGCACAATGAACTTCTCAGTCATTTTCTTAAAATATAGTAATCATCTCATGAAAGGGGAATATGATTTTCTGATGTACAGTGATAGTTTTTCAAAGGCCAGATTTTCATCCTGTTGTTAATAAAAGGTATTCCACCATGGATTGATTATCCTGAGCATTATTTTGCAAAATGTGATATACTGTAGTAATGAAGACCTATATATGAAAAATACTGGTGATATTAGAATAAGATTGAGATGAATTAGAATCAGATTGAGATGATTGAGTGAATCTTGGGTTGGTTTCAGATATCAAATAAACTGAGTTTTTCCCAAATGCAGATCAAACTCTAGCAGTACTAAAAGCACATTCATTAAAAAATCCAAATATAGTTCTATTTTTATCAATATCGTAACGTGGCAGTTAAGCTTAGGTGAAGAAGAATGTAGGGACTTTTTAGTGCAGTGACTGCACACAATGAGAACAGGGTAAGGTACAGTGTAGTAAAGAATTTAATTTTGCCCCCAAAGAAGTCTTGACTTTTTACCCTTGGCTTTTGGGCAGTAATCTCTGAGCTCTTGGAGTGTCACGGCTGGTAGAAGTGTCTTTGTTTGCCTGGCTGCGTTGGGCCAAGACAGTTAACAGTGTGATTTAGTATGGGACATTGAATCAAACAGTATCAGCTCAGCTTCCTCGGGGGCTAGAAACGGAAATGAACCATGTAGGCAGTCAGTGATGTCACTGTGATGGAGCACCAGCAAAGACTGAACACCAGGCTCAGGTGAGCTTCCCTGGTTGGCTGTACTGTGTGTTGTCACACACTGATACCAGGAAAGTAACACTGTCCATGACTTCTCGAAGACTGGACTCTCCGTATTTATTACTTTCTTACACTCTGTCCTATGTGTTTCTTACTTAGACAGGTTTTAATCTCTCCTTTCCATGTAATAAACTGTAACTGTGAATATAACAGCTTTCAGAGAGTTCTGAGTCCTTTTAGGAAATTATCATATCTGAGGGTGCTTTTAGAACCCTTGATGTTTTTGGACTGTTCCCTAACTTTGCAGTTGCTAACCCTTTAAGGAAATAAAATGTATTTGGGTAGGAAATTGAGTACAGATCTACAAAATAAAAAAGACATTTCTTATATAATTGAATAGATTACAATGTCCTTCTCAAAATACAATATTACTTTAGATTTTCTCTTGCTTAAATAATTTAATGAAAAAAATTAATTGAAGTAAACATAGCTTTCTTACATGTTTACAACTTAAGATTTTTAAAACAAAGTAAATCCTAGGTAAGTTTTATCCAAATGAAACAAAATGGAAAACTTAATGATTCTTCACACATTTAATAACATAAACTGCCAATGTAACTGTAATATAATCTGCCAATCACAGTGACTTCAAATAAATTACTTTCAATATTATATATAATAGCCATTATTGAAAATAGCATACTTTCAATAATGGCTGTTATATATAATACTGATCTGGAGCTTGTGTTTAACAGAGTGTGAAAAGAAGTTGACATCTGAAATAATATGAGGCTATATTTAGGTGTAGCCTCATGCAATTTACTTTTATAGCACTTATCATAATTGTAATTTATTTGTGTAATTTCTTGGTTAATGTTTATTTTCCCCATGACACCATATATAGCAGTGTGGCAAATGTTTTCAGTACTATGCTCACATCTCCTTGGCACTTTCTATATCAATACATGCCAACCTGATTTCCAACTGCCAGCACCTGTGACTCATTTCCTGAGGGATTTCTCCTGGCTGCAGACACTTGTTCCGCCTGTGTGCAGACGGGCACGAAGTACAGGGAAATTAATACTGCTGAAAGTAGTCTTTTAAAACAGTGACCAATGGTAGATGGTGAACAAATACCCCAGTTCCCTTGCCTTTTGGGCAGGATGAGTTCCTCAGAAGTGTGTTCTACACCGCTGCTTAATCAGAGTGTGATCCAGTGATCTGTAACGTGAACATCACCATTGCTAGACAGATAGTTAGAAATGCAAATTCTTAGAATTCACCCTAAAACTACAGTATCAAAATCTCTGGGAGTGGGGCCCAGGAATCTCTGCTTAATTAGGTGATGTTCATACATTCTGAAGTTGGAGAAACACTGTGCTTCCAGAGTTCCTTGGAAGGATTAAGCTTCAGTTGCTTTCAGTGGTAACTTGCTTGATAATAAACCCTTTAATAGCTTCTTTTCTTTCCTGTCTCACTCGTTCAGTGTCATACCAGTGTTTCTTGAGATCACACCCCAAACATACTATGTGCACTTGAATTCTTGCCTTACGGATTGCTTCTGGAGTAATCCATACTGACAAATTAGGGACTGTGACAAATGGGTAAATGAATTGTCTTTATTGGTATAACTCAAATATTAACATTGCTAATTTTTCTAGTTTTGCAATTCTCTAGATCCAGTTTTCCATTTCTGCCACCTCCTGAAACCTCAGTAAATGGGACTAGCAGCATATATTAATTAATAAAAGAATTAAGAGAGAATTAATGAAGTGAAATATGCATCATAATAAATAATCCAAATGCAGGAGAGAACAAGAAATAGAAAATATGAACGAGAGCAAATTAAACAATAAGGAAGATATAAAGAGAAGCTCCAACATACGTTTAATTGAAGTACCAACAGTAGAGAAGAGAAATGGGGTCGAGGCATGCTATGAAGAGAGAGTGGCTAAGACTATTGCAGAATTCGTCAGTTATACTAATCCACAAATTCAAGAAGGCCGAAAGTTTCCAGGTAGGATAAGTAATATGAAATCCATGTCTAGACCCAGTGTAGTAAAATGGCGGAGACTCCGAGACAAAGAAGGTCTTGAAAGCAACTGGAGAGAAGACTACCTTCCTAGAAGGACGGCTGTACTGTTAGCTGACTTTTAAAAAGCAATAATGGAAGCCAAAGGACGATGCAACAATACCATCCAAATCCTGATGGGAGATTAACAGTCACCCTAAAGTTGTGTTTCTACCCCTACAGATCTAACACTCTTTGAAACCACCATAACTAGCCAGTAGTATCAGGAAGGAACCAATTTTGCAGGATTCGGCAATTTATATTTACACTTTTTGAATATAGATACTGCTTTCTCTTTGTGGAAGAAGTTTCTAATTTTTTTTTCTGTTTGGTCTTTAACACATATGTTCAATTTTCCCACTGCTTCTAGTTTTTAGGCCTTCTTATTAACTTTGCAGCAGTGAAGTTCCTGCCATGGACTTTTAAAAATATTTCCAGTGTTGCCTCTGATGGTCTGCCAAGTTTGTTCCTTTATGCCTGTTGCTGAGGAGAAGGAGATACCACATGTTGTCTCATTTCTTTAAAAGTACTTTATTATTTCAAACTTCTCTTTAATACTTAAAGCTTTACTTTTACATGCAGTGTTTGGCCTTTTTGAAACAAGACACTTAGACATGTTTTGAATGTTGATATCTAATATATCTGTCTATTTATACAGATATCCAAAAATGTGAAAACTTCAAAGATGATATACACAGTGAACTGAGGTAACTGCTAGGTTTTTTAATAGGTGTGTGTTCATTTTGTGTATACCTATGTGGTTCAGTTCAGATGGGTTTAGTTTTGTGCATGCACCTAGTTTTTCTTATGGATGCAATTGCACATCAGTCAGTGTGAACTTCATGTCATGCTTCCCAGGACCTGCATCATGGGTCTGCCTACCCATGGGCCAGGACTACCTCCAGGACCTCCTGGACCCTGACCTACCCACCAGCAAGTTGACGCCAGCTTCAAGACACTTTGGACCCCTCACTAAGCTACACCAGGATCCAATCTCACTCACAAGTGGGTCGACACTAGCTTTGGGCCACTCTGGACTTTGCAGCCAGCCATGTCAGAAACCACTCCTGCCCACCAGCAAGTCAATACCAGATCTAGGAACTCCAGCCCCACAACCACCCACCTCAGAACTTGGCTCTGCTGATATAGGCCAACACTAGCCTGGAGACTTCCTGGGGTGCCACAGCTAGCTGCCTCATGACCTGGCCCCTCCCACCAGCAGCCAGCAGCCTTTGCATAAGGCAGGGCCTGGCAACCAACTGGACCAGGAGCTAGCCACACCTGCCAGAGAGTCCACAGTAATCAGCCCACCCTCACAGGAGGACCCATGCACTCCACATGGGGGGCACCCTGAGGGTAATAGCTCTGGGGACCAGATGGGAGTGCACTACTGGGATGCATAGGACATCTCCTACAAAAGGTCACTTCTCCAAGGCTGGGAAACATAACCAGCCTACCAAATATACAGAAAGGAAAAGGGAAAATCAGCCAAAATGAGATGACCAAGGAGTAAGTTCCAAAGTAAGGAACAAGATAAAATCCCAGAGGAAGAACTAAGTGAAGATAAGCAATCTACCCAATAAAGAGTTCAAGGTAAGGATTGTGAATGTGCAAAAACTCCAGAGAAGACTGGATGGACAGAATAGGAAGTTAAAATTTTTCACAAAGAGAAAATGCAAAGACAAACAGATGAAGAAAACAAGAACAAATAAAAATACACTAGCAGCAATCAGTAGTAGATAAGATGATACAGAGGAACAGATCACTGAACTGGAAGACAGGATAGTGGAAATGACTGAAAGTGAACGGAAGAGAGAATTAAAAGAAATGAGGACATTTTACTAATGTTCACATTATAGGTGATTCCAGAAGGAGCAGAGAAAGGAACAGAGAACATGGGCAGAAAAAAATGGGCGAAAGAACTGAATAGACATTTTTCCAAAGAGGAAATGCAGATGACCAGTAGGCACATGAAAAGATACTCAATATTGCTAAGTATCAGGGAAATGCAAATAAAAACCATAATGAGATATCACTTCAAACCTGTCAGAATGGCTATCGTCAAAAAGAACAAAAATAACATGGTGAGGATGTAGAGAAAAGGGAACCATCTTACACTTTGATGGAGAGATAAATTGGTGGAGCCACTGTGGAAAACAGTATGGAGATTTCTTAAAAAACTAAAAATAGAACTACCATATGACCCAGTAATTCCATTCCTGTGTATATATCTGAAAAAAATCCAAAACACTAATTCAAAAAAGCTATAGGCACCCCAGTGTTCACTGCAGCATTATTTACAGTAGCCAAATGTGGAAGCAATCTAAATGTCTATCAACAGAAGAAGAATGGATAAAGAAGAGGTGGTATATAATGGAATACTACTCAGCCATAAAAAGGATGAAATTTTGCTATTTTCAGCAACATGGATGGACTTGGAGGGCATTATACTAAGTGGAATAAATCAGAGAAAGACATGCTGTATAATATCACGTATATGTGGAAGTCTAAAAAATATAACTAGTGAATATAACAAACAAGAAGCAGATTCATAGATAAAGAAGACAAACTAGTGGTTATACCAGTGTGTATAGGGGAGGGCCAGTGTAGAGCTGAGGGAGTGAGAGGTGCAAACTACTGGGTATAAGCTAGGCTCAAGGATGTAACATGGGGAATATAGCCAGTATTTTGTAATAACTGTAAATGGAAAGTAACCTTTAAAAATTGTATAAAAATTAAAAAAAAAAACAAAAACCAATCAACCAACAAAAAATCCCAGAGGGGGTACGTAATAAAACTGCATTGAGAATGAAGTATCTGACTCTTCTTCACACCCTTTACGTTATAACACAGGAATGAAATAGTGTATTTTTAAATCTTTCTTCCTGGCTCTGACAAGAAGACATTCCAAATGAGGACCAAAGAGAAAGACTATTGGAGTAGTCACTGCAGAGATAAATTCTGTACACCCTGGTGTGTGATCTTGGGCAAGTCACCAAAATGTTCTAAACTTAAGTTTTAGTATCCACAGAAGGATGACAACATTTACCCTACAAGACTGGACAATTAAATGCTGACTTTGACCACTGATAATAGACATGAACTGCACTATTCAGCCGTTCAGATGAGTGGACACTTCATGAATAACTTACGGGATTGTCAAGGGTCATTTTTTGACTGCAGGATTTTGCCTTACCTGCTGACATCAGAGTCCTTGCTGAAGATGCAATTCCATTCTAAGCCTTGGAATGACAGTGGATCTAGTATCTTCAGAGAATCTCCTCAAACTAGTTCTATAATTGAGCTCAGGATGGCACATCCTAACCAGGAAGGTAAGTCTGGTGGCTGCCCACATCAAACAATAATACAGTACTTGCTGATAAAGGGACCATTGGGGCAGAATGGCAACAGAGAGCTGCAGAATTCCAAAAAGGACTGTCAGCTGGTTATCTAGCAGGCATTTTGCTTTCATTCACAAAGTTCAACCACAATTTTTGCCAACCTGACATAACGGTTCATGTCGACGGCTGGTTCTGCCAACAATAAGAAATAATACTTCAAGGGTTCCTGAGTACTTCATTCCAAAGCTTTATATTTACTGTTTAGAATAATTCCTTGGAACCATGTTTAGGTATTATAAAATACTTTTTAAAGACAGTTAAGCTTACCCATGATCAAAAGAGGTAAAATATTAAAATGAGTACAACTGCATAAATTATACCAAGGTGGTAATCTTTGTGGAGGCTTTCACTATGTCACCTCATTCCTAAAATCCAAGGAAGAGAATTGGAGAAAATAACAAAAGGTGCAAGGGACATAAATGAGTAATGAATTGTCTTAACTTTTATTTGATTATTTTCATTTACAGTTCTGGCACTGACACTTTTTTTTAAAAAAAAAGATTTAAATTTTATGTAAAGATTGAACTTCAATAAAATAACTTAAAAAACATTTACATATACATCACTAAATCTCCATAAAATATACAATAATTTTGATACAGCTATAGGCTAGAATGACTTTGAAGGAAATGATACATATTAATAATTTTTAAGAGATATCCCATATGTCACATGTAGGAATAAATATTCATATTGGATTTGCTAAGACGTGAAATATTAAACACTATATAACATGCACTCAGAAATGAAAATATACATTTTGAAAACATATTTTAAATGCACAAAACTGTGTTTTCATTTAATCTTGATGTACATTAGAGCTTTTAAATAGAAATTTGAACATTTATTACAAATAAAAGATACTATAACATCAAGTGAGATATCGTCCAAAAGCTGCTAGGAACAGTATGGACACGTAGAATATAAATTTCTACTTTGGCTAGAGTTAAGTCACATCTTTTTTAACCTTCAAATGAGATGGAATAATGTAAGATTTGCTAAAAATTTTAAAACTTTGTGAAATATTGGTGTATTTAAGTTTTATGTACTTGTAAGCTATATTTCTTTTTCTCATTTATATTGATATGACAAAATCAAACACATGGACTTAACTGTCTAAAATCAAAACCTGAATATTACTAAGTGAAGGTAGGTATTTAACATTCCATAGACCAAATCACTCAAGTGCAGCAGACTGTGTTTTATACATACAAAGTAAAGATTTGTAAGAATTACATTGTTTTACACTCACAAGCACATTATGAGATAAAGTTCTTTCATGTGCTTCTGAGCATCATCAACACAGAATCTCTCTCTGATGATTATTGGCACACAGAAAATTCCTTCTCTAAGAGATGCTATTCCAGAGAGTTGGTAGCCGTGAGCTGTTTGGCATTTTACAATGATTGCTATTTCTGGAAAACAGCAGCAGTGTTGCTCATCCAGAAGAACCGAAGATCCTGAAAACTGATATGCTGCTACAACCTGAATCACTTCATCAAATTAGCTTAACATGACTACACATGAGGCTAAGAAAATTGATAGAAAGTGACAAAAAACAGGATGTTAAAATTAATCCAGAGAACAATTCTGAGTCTTTTTATAGGCAGAAGCGACCCATGAGCTGTAAGTTCTATCCATAGTTTAATACATTTTGGTATAAAGCACATATTAAGAATTCTCTGCTCCTGGCCTGATAGGTCATTCTTTTATTTGCAGTTAGTGAAAATGTCTGATTTTGGCAATTTAAAATATGTCACAATAAATAACTGTATAAATGACAGTTGTTAGGTGCTTAATATGACTTGAGATTTTATAACTAGGAGAATAGTAAAAAAAATCTGATTATAACAAAACATCTTATTAATTTTAATGTTCTTAATTACTGTACTGATTAAAAATGAAGTCAAAACAACTTCCCTGTGACTCCTCCAACTGTATTACGGTATTTATAAAATATATTAGTGTCATTAAAGTGTGAGACTTTCTTAGATAACGTGTGAGTAGTAGTTTCTAGAATATCCTCCCCCCCAGGATTTATGAATTATCATATCACATTTAAGTTTTACTTTCTGATATAAAAGCAAAAGGATAAGTTGTCAGCTTACATTTTTCCTGTTAATTCTTCCTCTGGATTACTGATTTCGGAATGATAGTAAACAATTTCTAAATTCTTTGCTTTAACAGATTTCCCACTTTAGAATGAATAACTTAATAAATAATATTTAGATTCTTATATATACTAAAATGGTTGAGTGGTAAAATAAAATTATGAATAGCACTTGATAGCATTCTTCTCATAGCATTATCTGTCAAGGAACTAACTACTAACATATGACTTGGGGATAAAATTTCAAATGGAAATATTACCTTTTAAATCTAGTGTTAATTTAGATCATTTACATATATACTAAAAATCACATTTTGGATAATTACTAAGATGCAGCAATCAAAATTATTAGGAATGTTTACATTTAAGAAAAAATATTAATACCAAACCTTTAAAACCTATCTGACGTCACATTCACCCCTAAGTGTTCAGATGCAGATACATTCTCTTAAGTCCAGTGCAGATCTCATTAGCTATCTAGCTAAACCTCAGTAGGTGTTATGATCTTCGTCATTATATTTTCCTAAATCATAATATACCTCTATTGAATTTGCAGCATGTTTAGAAGGAAACTGATAATTTCAGTGAAAAGCACGATGCTTAATGTGTTTTAATATGGTAAGTCAACTCATACCATATATAAATTATCCTACAAAATACATATTTGATGATATTTCAGATGGAATGTTTTCATGTTGACAGTGGTAGCAGAGATGCTGATAACTTAAAGGTGCATATTAAAAAACCTGCAAAATTCATTTAATTTTTAATATACTATAAATGTTCACTGAATCTAAAAATAATACACTAATTGTATAAGGTTATTTTTCAAGTAGTTGTTATTAAAAAATTATAAATAATTCTTATACTGTGCCTCTCTGTCTTGTACGTCAAAGATACGGAATATTATCTTTATCACTATATAAATAACAAGTAGTCCTTTACAGAAGGAATTGAGGCAAACAGGGGAAGAGAACTGTGGCTATTTTTCCCTGTTATTATGTGCATTTGTGGATAAAGAGTTGAAAACATCATTTGCTAATGTCAGGGAAAATAGGCCTTGTTCGGCTTTAGGAAATAATGAGTCTAGTTGCTCCTTTAATAAAGTTACTGTGCATTCAGCTCAGCTGAGTATGTAAGCATATAGTTAAGGCTATGTATACGATAAAGAGAAGAACTGAGGCAATTATTCGGATAAATTAGAAAAACAAATTTTTAAAGAGATCACTTTATTGGTCTAAATACCTTTCTTCCCATCATACTCTGATTTTACCACACGGTAGTTCATTTTTCCACTTGACTTTACCTGTGTGAAATAGTAAACATAAGAAATTTCTTATGGGATAAGAAATATCCGTGGAATAATACTTTTCTCTATTAAAGCACATCTGTTTTCCTGGGAAAAATCAATACTGATATCCTGTTAGAAGTCAACTGTCAAAGCACCTAATTCAAGGCAAATATCTCTCTGACTTTTTTTTTTTTAATTACATGAAATGATCAAAAGGAAGAAAATTTTTTTGGCTGAAAGATTTTTAGGCTTAGAGAATGAACCTCCTGGCAACATTCTCAGCTTTGATCACCGTGATAGGAATAAGCCGGACTTTGAGACCAGACCATCTTGGCGACTGGCAGAGACAAACTGAATTTAGAGATGGCCACCTTTGCACTCCAAAGAGTACCTTATTAGATGTTTAGAGCCATGTTAAAATGCATCAAATGTATGGACTCCTAAACTGGCCACAGAAGTCATTCATATTTTCACTGAAACTAGCAAGTAGCTTTGTGAGTAATTTTTTACTTACTATATAGTTCTTAGTATCTGAGCAAAAATTAGAGTTCATTGATGAATGAGCATAAGAACCAATGAACACTCTGAAAAGACACTGTAGCAATGTAGTAAGCTATATGAAAACCATCAATCTGTTCTAACAGAAAAAAACCCCAATTTTCAGACAAGAGGGAAAAAAATCCAAGCCAAGCATGAGAAAAAGAAAACACCCACATACAAATCTATGTATCTTCTTCTTACAAATAAAATGTCAGGGAAAATGAGAAAAGGTGTGCAAAATAAAAACCAGTTTATGTTCTTAGGATTAAAAAAAAAGACAAGTACCATTAAATCATAAAATGTGACAGTTCCCTTAGGAAGTTAATAAAAAGGTAAGAAAAATAGAAGTCCCACTACTTAAACAAACATCAGTTAACTGCAGGATTATTTCTGTCACTGATTTTCTTCCTTCTTTTTGTGTCTCAGGACTTATTTGATTAAAAGAAGGGGGAAAATAGTCCACTAGCAGCTATTTATATAACACAAAGGAAGGCACAAACAGTAGGACTCGAGAGTCGATGAGCAAAGGCGTGGTGAATATCAGGAGATTTCGGTGAGAACAAAAACTGACCTAGAAAGACAGTTGAAGATCTACTTGAAGATCTATTTTGTGTTTACAGGTGCACACCTAAGTGACCAACTCAGTCTGGGTTAAAAAAAAAATCTTTTAAGGTCCATAAAAATCTTTTCTTTCTTTCTTCCTGGCAATAAAATACACTTATCAAAACTCGCTAGCCTATCTGTGCAAATGTCTACTTATCACGGATGCAAAAATACGTAGGAAAATAAACCCTAAAAGACCTGCTTTTCATCATGTTCAAAAGATCCTGTACAGAGTCCATTTCTGAAGAACTTTTAAGATCTGAATTGGAGAGAAAAACCAAAATGTGGAATCCAAAGGCTATGAGGACAGCCATGCCCTGGCAGGAGGCACTTTGGAATTCGTTGATGAATGCTTATATGGAATTTACTTTCTAATAAGCTGATCACAGAGGAGCTCCTAGTCTTTAGGAAAATTTAGGACCAATAGGCCATGCTTTGACAGAAAACACCCTTGGACCATATCCCAGAATCTTTTGTGATGAGTATATCATACATGTACGATTTGGCTAGATTAGCTCTAACTCAGTTGCCACTAACAATTACATATGGTCTTAGGAAAAAAAGGATGTCACTGAAGTCACTGGATGCAATATTCATTTTAGACTATCTCAGGAAGGAATTACACGTGTTTGTTCAATAATTATTAGATTAAAACCTCTGTAATTTTTTTTTTAATGTCTCTGCTTGTGAAACAGAAAGTCATCATGGTAAAGTATCTTCCTTGGAATCAAATACTCTAGAATACGTAGTCATTCAAAACTAGGCTGTGGAAAGAACCAGATTAAAAGCAGGGCAGTGAGGTCACCAATTGCTGTTCTTCTCTCCCAAGTTTGTTTAAATAACTAAATATATCAGCAGCTGACAATTACTCCACATCAGAAGCATCGTTGTCAGAAAGATGATAGTTACTTCCCTTCACTCGAATGTATTCAATGTATCTCCCTTCATCCGAATCTGAAGCACCACATGTACATAGCCTGTTGTCAAAGAGTGATTCAATTTCTTCTAACTTTTTCCCTTTGGTCTCAGGAAGACAGCCGTAGATAAAAAGGAGACCCACAGCAGCGAAGCCAGCATAGAGGAAAAAGGCTCCTGCAATGGAAAATAATATATATGTTACAGGACTACGTTGGAAAGGGGACTTGGTTTTACCTTTTCTTCCTGGTCAATCGTGTATAACCGTGGTCTGAAATTGAACAAGAAAATTGTTTTCAGCCTGGTTTACTCTAATTGTTCTAATGCTGTGATTATAACGCAATTTATCTTTCTAAAGTCATTCAGTGCCAAACTCAGGAAGATGATAGACCATACTTAGATGGAACTTCTGCTTTGAAGTCTTTCCTCACTTCCCCAGTTGGAGTTAATTGTGCTTTCACAGTCCTTTGCTGAGGCAAAGTGGTATCATAACAACTAAGAAGTATTATGATTATGTAAGTGTGTTTGTCTTGTCTACTAGACTGGAGGCACTTTGAGGGAGAAATTTCCTTCTCATTTATATTTCCAGAACCATATCCAATGATGACATTGCTGAATTCATGAGTCAATGCCCAAAGTCTGGGTGTCAACTTTGAATTTTCCTCTTACTCTCCTACCCAAAATCCAACCTGTTAGGAAGCCCTGTTGGATCTACCTTCAAATACAGTCTGAAGATGATCACTTTCCACTGTTCGACTGGTGTCTCTGGTCTACCAATTTAAATACAAGAAGTTAAATGCTTTCAACTTTTGATGGTGGAGAACAACTGATCTTAATGGAGTCTCTGCCTGATTCTAGCCTTCAGTTCAGACCATCCTGTATATGACACATGGGAAGGAAGATGACAAACTAATGTGACAAATGGCTGGAGAAAGGACATCAGTTTGGGAGTTGGAAGATCTGGGTTTAAGTCTTGCTATGTGACTTCTAGATAGTCATTTAACCTCGTGTCTGGACCTTAGTTTCTCATTAAGTAAAATAAGATGGTTTCTCAGCTCCTCTTTAAATTTGTGGTTTAAATTATAATTCTGTATGTTTTACCACCCAAATCAGGAGCAAGTATAGGGGAGATGGTTATGAGATGCTTGCGGAGGAGACCAGCAGAAGTGGTCTCCTCAGGGTCAGAGTCAGTGGATTGTCTCTGGTTTGCCAAGTACAGTGCTGACACATTGGAGGGTCTAGAGAATGACTGTGCTCTTGGTGACTGCCAGATGGACTACATTGGGTAGCAGATCTGAAATGAAGGGTTAAACAAGACAACATGAAGACACACTTGAAAGTCAAGCTTTAAGCTGAATAGCATAGCAATTAAAGAACTGAATAATTTCTCAGTTCTGCTGAATCATTACAGAATGCAGAAAGACATTATTAAGACTACTTTCTTAAAGATAGGCCTGCAAGTAACCATTCCAGAACTATCCACATAAATATTTCTTGGGAAAGCTGAAGGGAAACTACAGAGGAAAAAATGCTGCTGAATTTGCCACCCCAAAGAATCTGCTCTGCAGAATGAGGAGCCATGAGAAAATAAAAGGGAAACAAAGGTAAACTACGAGATGTTAGGAAAAAAAATATGAAAGGCTTGATTAAATCAAGACATAGTTTGTCACACAGTCATCGGAAGCTATGCAATTTTTAAGGAGCTGGATTTGTGTAAATCAAATTCTGTTAAAAATATAACTCCATTTACAAATATAAGGCTCCTTTATTTCATTTTAGTTTGGTTCACATTACCACTTACTACAAAAGTTTATATATTTTATGTCTCACATGTGATAAATAATCAGAAAAGAATATTAAGTCATCTGGGATGCATGGCTGAGTGCTAACAGTGCGAGGAAGGCACCGTGGCTCTGTAGACAGCATCGGTCTGAAAGTGGCCCAGCCGCAAGCCACGGGCAGTTTATTTAACTGCCTTGACCTCAATTTCCTGATCTGTCTAAGGGGAAAATAGTTCCTGCCTGGCTAAACTGCAAACAATAGAAACAATGTGTATTACATGCCGATTAGAATTTTGGATATTAGTGGCTCAAAACAGTGATAGAGAGAGCATTATTAAATTCTACTAAATGACTAGGGAACGAACAATAGTTGCTATTAAGATCAGCGTGACTAGTAAGCTGGGAGTGTTTTCAACAAAAGGATGATATTGACAAGCTAGCTCTTGAAGAATGTGGAACTTTGAGAAAAAAGGGAAGATGGAAGTCCTGTGTTCTGATTACAAATAAGCAAAATTGTGGAGGTTGAGAAAAGAAATGGAATCTTTGGTAGGGAGGGACAAAGAAAGCATGGTAATCATGATGATAATACAGAAAAAAAGAAATAAGGGCGGATGGGGAAACATTTCACACTAAACCAGGCTGCTAAACTCTAAAATATCTAACAGAGTAAATATAGTCTGGCTTCATGAAATATACTATTGAGAAAATATTCATCATCTTTCACAATTTAGGTACAGTGGCATGATGCAGAAGTAAAAAATCAAATACGTTAGTGCTAAACTCTTACAATTAAACACAATTCAATAAATTAGGAAGATTCTTAAAGGCCATACAGTTTCTTGTGTGTGAACCAGATCCCCAAAGCCAAATAACATCAAGAAAAATCCATTAAAGTAAAAGATCCTGCTATAAAGTCTGAGGAATCTAAAGCAGGCAAATGCCCAGTGGCTTCACTGGTGAGACCTGTGGTTAAGCCACAGAGGTGAGGGGAGGCCTGAGAGTCTGTGACCTTGTCCATGTCGTGGGCAAGTCAATTGTGTAATTCACTTTCTTAATTATTCCCTCTTGTAATGAAAATGAAAAAAATGTCTGTCACAGCTCTGCTAGGATTGTTGAACAGTATAAATATTCCTCAGCTTTATTCTAAAGGAAATAAATCTTATTAGAGCCCTATATTAACATTTCAGATTATAACAAATATTTGAGTTTTACAGAATGAATAACTTTGATGGGCTGTGATTGAATGTCAGTACTTCGACACAGGAACTTTGATATAATGCTTCTCTGGGGGATCTACTTAGTCACCTGTGCTATATACATAAAATGGCACGGGGTGACACTTTAATGATGATTTTGAGTAATAAACATTACTGAGTGGGGTGCAAGGCAGACCTCTATAGGCAGTATAGTTTAGGAAGGAATAAAAATTTGAGGTCTTAGGAGACAATTTAAAAAGGAAATAAAAGATAACATGAATATTTCCAGAGAAATACATCATTATGGTGTATAATTGTGAAATCAGGAATATAAACATACACCTGACATAGATCAGTAACATAGAGATTAAAATACAGAGCAAAAAACAAGGAAAATCAAACCTGAGCTGAGCTGTGGTCCCACTACTGGAAGGCAGTAGGCCAAGTGGACCGGAGCGCTGATAAGACGGAAGCTTGGCTGAACTCAAAGCAGAAAGCTTCTTTGAACGAGATATTTTTGAAAGAACCCTGGCTATGCCCTATTTACATTTCACTTCTGTTGCCTCGTGTTTTTCTGGC